TCCAGGCTCTGAGCTGTCAGCACAGAGCTGGACGCAGGGCTCGAACTCATACCTGTGAGACCATAACCTGAGCGCAAGTTAGACACTCAACCGATGGAGCCACCCGGGCACCCCCTGAGAGGTGTTGTTCTAGCCTCACCCCTTCACTGTGCTCCTGGGGGACCAGAGGACCTACGTCGAGTTCTGTGCTTGGCCACGCCTACCAGGGTTACCAGTGGAAGAGGGGAGCTCACCTCAGGGACTCTGTCCATGAACACTGTGGAAAGGGCTGGTGGACCCCCAAATCTGGGGGTCGCCAAGGTCCTTCCTCTCTCCTCCCTCAGCTTCAGTTCCCTCCACTGGAAAATTCTGGGACTCCGACTTCGTATTACATCTGGGGTCTGATCTCTCTACCTGGTCCAGTCTACCAACCACCTCGTGGGCCCTGGGGACAGCAGCAGACTCCCCCTCCCCCTCCTTCCCATCCCTGCTGCTCTCAGCCGCCAGAGCCTCCAGATCAGGTCTCTCCTCTGCCCAAAACCCCACATGGCTCCCAGATAACTTGGAGGGAAAAACAAACAAACAAACAAAAACCAACAAGGTCCTCACCATCTCCGAGGCCCCTCCCAAGTGGACGGTGGCCGTCTCTCCCAACTTTGTCACCCACCCAGCCCCAGCCTTTGTCCCATCCTGGCTGCCTCCACCACAGTGCCCTCCTTGCTGTTTCTTGGATGCTCCAAGCAGTTTCCCACCCCAGGGCTTTTGCATGTGCTGTTCCTTCTGCTTGGAACATGCTTCCCTCTGACCTCTGAAGGGCTTCCCTCCTCTCTGTTTGGATCATTGCCCGCCCCCCCCCCCCCCCCGCAGAGGTCAACTACCTTATCAAATTAATATTTTCCATCTCATTCTTTTGCCTACCGCGTACTCCACGTTATACCCGATACATGTTTCCTGTGTGCTTATTGCCCATCTCCCCTGAATGGACCTCAAGGGGCCAGGGGTTTCGTCTGTTTTGTGCTCTGATGAGCCCAGAGCCTGGAACACTGCCTGGTGCACAACGGGTATCAGACACCAGTGTGTAGGGTGAAAGTCCAGGGAGGTGTGCAAAGGGCCAGGAAGGCCGAGAGCCCTGTCCTTTGGTTCCCTCTCTGGTCACGGTTTCCTTCTCTTCCTGCGGTCGCCCCTCACCCCTCACCCCTCAAGAAGCTTACCTCTGAGGGGAAAGTTTTCCAGCGGCAGGCAAACGGGGTCTCTCCCCTCCAGGCCTGTGGGGAGCCTCCGAGCATCCTCAAAGGACAGAGGGCCTTAGGGGCAGAACATGCTGGATTTCCGCAGTCACCCTGCTCCCAGCCTGTGTTCTCATCTGGAAAGAGGAAAGCGAGGAGGCTGGGCGACCCTTGAGGGTGTATTGTACAGACAGGAAGACTGAGGCTCAGGGTGGTGAACGTGTCTTCCGGGCCCCTGGGGCCTCGGCTCCCTCCCTCTGCAAAAGGAGGGTAATACCTCCTCCCTCCTAAGCTTGTTGCCAGGGTTAAAGTAATTAAACAAAGCCTTTAAGTACTTAGTAGGGCCTGGCACACACTAGGTGCGCAAGAAATGCCAGCCGTTACTGCTGGTGTTTTGCAAGGCGAACTTATCCACAGCCAGGAGGTGGCAAAGTCAAGGTTCATACCCAGGTCTGCGTGGGTCTAAAGTGACTCCCCCTCGCAGACACAAAACAACGACCATTATAGTAATAGTAATGACCACCATTCATTCCGCCCCATATGGGAGCCCCAAGGGTTAGAGAGGAAGGTCATCAGGTGGTGGCACCTGTCCCTGGCTCCCTGCGCAAGGACGGGCTGGCGGCCACCGCGACCTCCCGCTGGGGGCGCCCCCGCTCCCGCGGCCTGGGGGGCCCTGGGCGGCCCGGGGAGCCCCCCGGGGGAGGCGAGCGAGGCCTTCGGGCTCTGGAAGGAGCCACAGCGCCTGGAAGACATTACACGGCTGTCGGCCGGGGGGCGTCGCTCAGAGTTCCGGAGGGGGTCCCGGCGGCGGACACGCCGGGCGAGGGGACGGCCCCGCCACAAAGCACGCTTTGTTCTGCGCTCCCCCCGGGAGCTGGAACCAATGGATTGGCGGCAGCTGAGGTCATCTGTCAGGCAGCGCCGGGGGTCAGGCCCGGGGACGGGAAGGGGCCGCGAGGGAGGGCCGGGCGGATCGCCGGCAGGGGTCCGCGTGTGCGCGCGGTTAACGAGGCCGCGCCCGCCGGATGCTTGGGGGGGGGGGGCGGTCGGCGCCCCGCTGCGGCCTCAGTTTACCCATCTCTCCGACACGGAAGAGAAAGCTGCCCTGTCCACCTGTCGGGACTCCTGCGTCAGGGGCGGAGGCGCTGCTGGCGACGACGGCCCCCTGGGATGACCCCTTCCTATCTTCCCGCGCTACGCGAGTGCCAGAGTCAGAAACGGCCCCCATGGGCAGAGTCGCGCGGAAGCGAATGTGGGTGTAAAGACGCACGTGTATGGGAGACCCGGCGGCTTCTCCTGGCCCAGCGGAGTCAGAGCCTCTGCCCGGTTCCCCACTTTGACCCCGGATGCTGGACTGGGCCTGCCTTTCCTCCAGGGCTGACAGGTGGAGCTGCCTAGACTCAAATCCAGGAACCCCCGGAGCCCATCCCCCAAAGGGGAGGGCGGGGCTGGAACCTCCCCACCCCCACTCGCTGCAGGTGTTTTTCTGACCTGAGGCAGATTGGGTCTGAACACTCTTCTCTATCCCTCCCTCCCAAAAGACATCCCCATTTATTCATTCATTCACGCCCCCATCCGGGTGTGCCTCAGTGTTCCCATCCATACAATGAGACAATTAGGCTTCTAAACATTCAGTACAGGGGCCCCTGGGGGACATCAAATCCAAGGAACCCCAGAATTTGCCCAAAATATTTGTGTGTGTTGCTGGAGAAAGGGCTCAGGGCTTTTTTTTTTTTTTTTTTTGATTCTCAACCGTGTTCATGACCCAGAAAAGGTTAAGAAACACTGCTTGGGGTGCAGGGAAGGAAAGCAGCCCCCGAAACTTTGCTGGAGGAAAAGGCATTTGGAACCACCACTCTGCCATCTGCTAGGACCTGAGAAGTTAGAAATTGAGCCGCGTATCAGCCAGGCAGTCCCTCTCCTACGGGGACAATTGAGAGAGCACAGTGAGTGACAGTGGAATTGCTCATGACAGCAAATAACTGGAAAGCTCGATGTCCATTAACAGGAACATGACTGGCAAATGGTGTGTTCAGACCCTGGAATGCCACAGAGCAAGTAAAAGAATGAGCTAGACCTACACTGAATTTATTCACCCAACAAATATGTAGTGAACTTAGTGATACTATGTATCAGACACCATTTCTCCCAGTGGACCTGCAGTGATAAAACAGATCAAGCCTTGCTTGGAGAATGTTTTCTAGCGGGTGAGCCAGACACAGATGTAGAAGATATTTTCAAGGAGTGCGGTAAATGCCACAGAGAAAATAAAGGCGAGGAAGGTGATAGAGTGATGGGGGGTGGGGGGACTGTTTTAGACAGAGTGGTCAGGGGAGGCCCTTCTGAGGAGGTGGCCAGAACAAGGGAGACTCTTGGAGAAGAGCAAAGACAGTTAATGGGGGGGATGGCCTGGCACCGTGCCCGGGGAGAAATGCAATCTGCGAAATGTGAAAAAGAAAAGCATGCCTTACTTACGCTTTACACACGACGTTATCACAAAGTTAGAAGAAGGTCTGGACACATGCTAAATTCATGAAGGTAACTGTCCCAGAAGAGGGGAGGGCAAAGGCACCGCCAGGGCTGGGACTCACGTGGCCTTCAGCTTGCCTCTCATATTTTAACTTTTTATCATGTAGCATTTTAATACCTTAACGTTTCAAAGATTGAATATAGGCACACATAACTTGTGAAATCAAAAACCATTTTAAATCTTCCACGGTGAAGGGTTAGGTTCCGGGCAGCGCAGGGCGTCAAGGGGTCCCTACACACGTTCACTGGACCCAGGTTCCTGGGGAGCCGTGGTTTGTCCGAGGAGGGGACACACCGTTGGGCTGGGGAGCCCAGCAGAGGGATGTGGCTCAGCCTGGAGTATCCGGAAGCTTCCTGCAGGAGGTGCCGTCTTTGCTGAGCTTGAGACCATGGGGCTCAGCACCCCCAGGGTAGACTAGGGAGGCCACGGTGCGTGCAAGACCACAGAACAGGAACGAACCGGGTAAATAGAACCTGAAACTCTGGGCAACTGGTCTACCGCGGTCGCAGCCAGGCCCCTCCCTCCACCCTCTCCCCACAGCCCCTGCTCCGCCGGCTAGAGGCCCCGCCCAGCTCTGCCGGGCCAGAAAGCAGCGCCACCTGCTGGCGCAGGAGAAAAACGCAGCTCGCAACCTCCACCGAGAGCAACCAACCAAGGCAGTTTTCAAAACCCTGCTCCTCCTCCTGTTCCAAGTCTGTTCCTCACCGCCCTCCCGGTGTCTGGCAAGGTCTAGACCAAGCTGCTGGCTTGGGTCTTATCTGCAAGAAGGGAAAGGCTTTTCAGGAAGGGGCAACCATTCCGGTACCCTAGACCCACCAGTGGGTCCGGAGGGGACTACTCCCGTGAGCCCGTGCAGCAGCTCGGGACAGCAGTTTACCCAACCTGCCCCCGGCTTTCTGACCCTTGGTACAGATCTTAGGGGTAGACAGTCCACTCGACAGCTTGGAAGAAGTCCCCAGGGAAGGGCTTGTTCGACGTCACCTGATGAATGGGTGTACAAGCTGATCCCATAACACGGGCTCCTGGGACCCAGCCCAAAGTGCGTGGAGGGGCTGTCCCCGTGTTTGAAGAGAACTGCCTCAGTCTAGATCAGTGGTCTCAGCTTCTGGTTCCCGAATAGCAGCAGCAGCAGCAGCACCTGGGAATTTGCTAGAAAAGCAAACCCGCAGGCCTCACTCCAGACCTACCAAGTCGGAAACTCTGGGGGTGGGGCCCAGCCGTTGGAGAACCTAAGGCGGCAGTCGGGAGTAATGATATCCCCTCGCTTTTATTAAATAAGCCTTTATTTGGGAATGGTTTTTGAATTGCATAAAAGTTGCAAAGAGAGTAACGAGTTCCCGGATACTCTGCACCCCGCCTACCCCCCATCATCTCCCATTTTACACGTACATTTCCCAAAACTAAGAGCCCGACATTGGTAGGTTATTAAGTAAAACCCAGACCTCATTCAGATCTCCAATGTTTCTGTCACTGCCCTTTTTTGGTTCTAGGATGTCCCACTGCATTTAGGACTGTATTCATTTTAAATTTAAATTGGTCGCCTCAGTCATCTTTGCCTGGGAGAGAACGGGTGGGAAAGCAGTGATCTTTGTTACCGAGCTGGGGAGATGGAAACCACCTGTGACCAAGTTTCCTTAGCAGGGCGATGAGAACAAAGCCTGTCTCACTCGGCACCCTTCCTGTCCCTCTTCCTGTCACCTGAGACTCTTATTTTCAGAAGTCCCTTTGGAATGTCTCACCCGGCCTATCTCTATCCCACCATCTCAGACCCTGAGAGATGCCTGTACTAGAGCAGGCCCCGCCCTGGGAGATTCACCCCTGCCCCTTCGCTTCATCCCCTAGATTTAGGGGCCAGGCCAATGTCTTGGTAACCAACCTCAGCTTGGGCAGATCAAGGCCCTGTGCAATCAGGCAGAAACGGGTATTTGCCGATGCACAGCTGCTTATGACTCATGACAAATGCCACCAATCGTTTGCAGTGTCTCCCAGTAGGAGCTGTAGTCTGTTTTGCCACCCCTTGAAATCCAGGCCAGTCATATGATTTGCTCTAACCAAAAGAATATCGCAGAGGTGATGTTTTGCCAATTCTGGGCCTAAAACTCAAGAAGAAGCCAGCTGAACAAGCCTGAGCTGAGCTGCTGGAGAGACTGCGTAGAGGAGGGCCAAGTCAGCCCGGCAACAGCCCGCCCAATGCTAGACAAGTGAGTAGGGCTATCCTGGACCATCCAGCCCCTTCTGGGGTACCAGCTGGCTGCATGCAGCCTTGGGGGTGACCTTGGGTGAGACCAGCAGAACTGTCCACATGCACCCGGCCTAAACTACAAACTCACAGAACTACGGGCGAATGAATGCTGTGCGTTTAGCGGTCAGGTTCTGGGATGGTTTGTTACACAGCAAAGACTAACTGATACACAGCTCCTCATGTCTCTCTTGGCAATGGGATTCCAATTATTTTATTTCAGGAAACAGTGTGCCAGTCCCAGGAGATGGGATATGAAGGGTCTGCTACTTATGACAATTCTGCTCCCTGCCATCTTAACTTTCTTTGCAGCCAGGAGTGGGAATGGTAGCCGGTTTGGGCCAAGGACACCAAACGGAAATATGCAGGGGGATGGAACAGGAAATAGGCCTCTGCAAAAGGTGAGAGTTTATAAAAGAAGTTGACAGCAGGCTTGGCCCTTCCTCCTCCCCTGCACCTTTCTCCCTTGACCACAGCCATGAATTCTGGAGGCACGCCTGCGATCTTTGACCACGAAATAACAAGCAAGGAGGGAGGGGCCAAAAGGAATCACAGGGCTGTGAGCTCTGCCTTTGCCAGGGTGCCGAACCACTACCACCTCCCTCCAGAATTCCTGCTATGTGGACACACTTCTCTCTTTTTAAGCCGCTGTAACTTAGGCCTCCTTTCCTCGCAGCCGAATGTATTCTGCCTACTGGGAAAGACACAGACAAAACTGTGTCCTCGGGACTCGAGCCAGCAGTCTGGGGCTCTCCGAACCCATCTCCTTTTCCATCGCGTGCTCTCCAAAATACCTCGAGATCAAAGATATGACCCCATTTTCGCGGCAGTCGGATCTGGGGCTCCCACACCATTCAGGAATGAGTCCAAGGCCTGGCAGCTGGCGATCAGGTGCTCAGAGTCAGACCTCGCCCCGTCCCCGGGCACAGGGAAGGCACCCCTCCACCTTCTGCATGGCCCCGCCCACTGGAGGCCACGTGGGTCTTCTGGGCCCTCGGGAAGGGGTGGCAGGTGTCAAGGCGGCTGCTACTGCAAGTCCGGTGTGGAAGCACCCAGGTACACCCTGAGGTCCGAGAGGGTGGACTGGACGAGCTTGGCAGGGATGGTCTCTCGCTGCAGCTGCCGGTAGGCTGCGTAGCGGTGGCAGCCGCCAAAGGAGTAGAAATAGTCACCACCCTGGGCCCCTTTGATCCAGAGGACGTCGATAGGGGGGACGCTGTCGGGATCCTCCTGGAGAAGAGGGTACAGAGTCAGTTAGCAGGCCCAGCGTCTGGTGGTTTGCAGAGGAGACTCTGTGAGCCGCACCGAGCTTCACGTGGTCCTCACGCGGGCGCATGCTGGCTGGGGAGAGGCGCCTGTTAAATGCTCGGGGCTTTGGGGAGCTGCTTGTCATCTGCTTGGTAGCTTGAAAATCAGCCACGGTGACTGATGTCAGGGAAACGAGCAGCCACTACAAGTTAGGGCTCCCCCCGCCCCACTCCTGCCAGAGACCGGATTGTTAAACATGTTTATTATTCTCCCACAATCACAGACGCACTATCGGTTGGACTCTCTTCTAAACTCTGGGAATAAGGTTCAGCCGGAACGGGATGGACACAGCAATTGCCTTCATGGGGCAGGTGGAAGGGAAAAGTGAGTGTTGGAGTGACAAACACGAGGAGGACAGGAACACAGGTTGACAGGGCCAGGGGTGGGTATCTCAGAGGCCCCGCTGAGGTGACGAGGGAGCAGAGGCCGAACACAGAGGAGCCAGCTTGGGAGGAGGGTGACGAGTTTCGAATCAGAGCCTGACTGCCGGGGCTCAGCCTCAAATCTCAGCTCCGCTACTTCACTATGTGATCTCGGACAATTAACGTCTGTGCCTCAACTGTCCCATCTACCAGATAGGGGCGTCTTATCAAAGACCAGAGACCCACGTCATAGGGCTGTTGAGTTAAATGAGCTGCGAACAGTGCTTGGCACGTGGGAAGTGCTCAGTAGGGTCTGCTCTGGGTTACTGGCGGAAAGAGCGTTCCAAGCAGAGGGAACAACAAATGCAAAGGGCCTGAGGTCAGAACAAGTTCACCGTGTTGGAGGCCCGGGCAAGGAGGCCAGTGTGATCAGAATGGACTTGAGGTCAAGGAGTACAGCTGGTCAGAAAGGTCAGAGGGAGCCAGACCGGACAGGTTTGTTTCTAAGAGGAGTGGCTGGGCCCTGGAGTGTTTTAAACAGTAGAGGGTGACGTGATCTGATGACCATTGTAGGAAGCTGTCACTTGAGAGCAGGCTCGGCGGGGTGGACAGAGTCAAAAGCAGGGGAGACCGACGCAAGGCCTTAGCAGGTATCCAGCAAAAGATGCTGGACCGGGAGAGGACAAGTTTGGGACATGGTGGCAGATCTGAGGAGACCAGGAGATGGGGTGAATGTAACAAGAGAATCTTCTCTGACTTTCTCTTAGGGCCCTGAGCAGCCTGGTGCAGACCACGTGGTCCTGTGAACAGGGAGGGCCTGGGGCAGGGTGAGGGCAGAGGGGACAGTGGGGAGACCACCTTCGGCATGGCCCCCGGGTGCTCTTTCATGATGCTTATTTGATAGATTCATGTCTCCATTCCTTCCAGAAATGATTCATAAGCAGTATTGGCCAGGAGAGGCAGGGGCTCCAGAGCCCAAGAAAAACCGGGGTTTGCATTTCGGCGCCTCCACTGAGCAGCTAGGGGACCCAGAGCAAGGAGCCTCGCCTTCCCTGGGCATAGTGCCTCATCTGTCAAAGGGGAGTGGGCGCTCTATCAGGCTGCCGATGGAGAGTCACAGAGCTGATGTACACGAGGCGCGGGGCACCAACGAGGGGCATTGTACTTGCTAGACGGGCCGGGCGCTGGGTGCACGATGGTGGGTGGGCAGCACCACAGCCCCCTGAGATGTCCATGCCCTAACCCTTGGAGCCTGCGAACATGTTACCTTACAAGACGGAAGGGCTTTGCAGGTGGAACAGAGTTAAAGGAGATGGAGAGATTATTCTGGGGTATGGAGGTGGGCTGACTGTAATCACTGGCGTCCTTGACAGTGGAAGAGAAAGGCAAAAGGGGAGGTCTGATGGTGCTGGCTTTGAGGACGGAGGAAAGAAGCCACGAGCCAAAGCATGCGGGCGGCTTCCAGAAGCTGGGAAAGGCAAGGAGGGGGATTTTCCCCAAGAGCCTCCAGAAGGAATACAGCCTTGCTGACACCTTGATTTTAGCCCTGCGAGACCCCATTTTGGATTTTTATATGTTTTATTATATTTTTAAGTTTATGTATTTATTTTAGGGGAGGAGAGAACAGGGGAGGAGCAGAGAGAGAGGGAGAGCGAGAGAGAATTCCATGCTGTCTGCGTGGAGCCCAACTTGGAGCTCGAACTCACAAACCAGGAGGTCACAACTTGCATGGAAACGAACCAGTCACTTAAGCAATTGGGCCCCCCAGGAGCCCCCCTCCCCCACATCTGGGGCTTTTAGACTACAGAAGTATGAAATAATAAATTTGTATTGTTTTAAGCCACTAAGTTCCTGGTAACTTGTTACAGGTGCCACAGAAAAGGAAGGAGTGTGGTTAGCAAAGCCGGGCTTGGTTCTTACCCTCACAGAGCATATGGCTCTAGCGTGGAAGGCAGGTGTCTAAACAGGCATTAAAACCCAGTGGGATCAGAGTTATGCTGGTGGGCATGCAGGTGTCTGGGAGGCCCACAGGAGGCCACTAACCCAGCAGGGGGCACCAGACACTGACACTGGGACCAGAAGAGCAAGAAGGAGTCAGAAACAGAAAAGAAGAGATGTGAGAGTTCCCGGCAGGGATGAAAGCCTGTGCGAAGGCCCCAGAGTGGGAGAGCACATACATGGCTACATCCTTCACAAACAGCCAGGCCCCATGCCAGTGTTGAGGAACCGGCCAAGATAGAACGTGTGCCCATATCATGTCAAGATAGGACATGTGCCCTTGTGCATGAGGTCGGGAAGACAGCCGATACAACACAAACAAATGTCTAAAGTTCCTGCCAGGATCACGTCCCCATTCTTGAACACCCTCCCTCACTGGGGGGAGGCTCACCCCTGTCCTCTCTCAGTTCCAGTTTAAACCACCCCCCCCCCCCAGCAGACACGACAGGTCCAGTCCCACAGCCACTGGCTGTGACAGCCGGAAGTGACCGCACGACTTAATGCCAGCGAGTGTGGGGGCCACGCTGCTGGGCACTGGGGCCAGTCCGTGCCACTTTCGAAGAGCTTGACCTTGGACAAGGTACTGAAAAAAAGAAAAAAAAAATCCTCCCGTGCCTCAGTTTCCTCGTCTGTAAAAGCGGAACAGTATCTACTTCACAGGGTTGCACGGAGCTCAGGCACTAGAAACAGCTCCCGGGGACTGCAAGTGCTATCTTTATGAACAGAGTTAGCGATCGTTATTTGAATGAGCCCGTCCAATCTGCCGCTTGCGCAAGTGAGGAAACAGAGGCCCAGAGAGGCCCAGCCCCTTGCTCAAGGTCACACAGCAAACGCTGAGCTCCGCCAGTCCAGGACGACCCCCCTACCGCGGAACCCTCCCTCCGGCCGGGCTCCCAGGGGCCTCACCCGGATCGTGTCCACGAGGCTCTGCACCTTGGCCGGGTCCAGCACGGACGGCAAGGGCCGGATAAGCACGCTCATAGGGACGTTGTGCACCGCGGCGATGCAGCCGGAGTGGATGCTGCCGCCCTGCGCGCCGCCGCTCGGCGCGGGGGCCCCCGGCGCCCCCGGGCGCGCCCCGGCCCTGCCCAGCGCCCCTCCAGCTCGCAGCCCCATCGCGCCGCCGCCGCCGCCGCCGCCGCCGCCGCCGCCGCCGCCGCCGCGCCGCCTCCCGCGGGCTTTAACCCCGGCCGGGCCGTACCACTCGTCGCGGGCGGCGGGGGCGGGCGGCGGGCCCAGAGCGTGTCTCCCCGCCCCTCGGTGGTCCCGCCCCGCGCTCCCCTCTCGCTCACGGCGCGTGGCCGCCCGCGCCGCACTCGGCCTGGCCGCCGGGGGGCGCCCCGCAGCCTCCCCTCCGCGGCGCCGCGTCCGGGAGTGGAAGCGCCCGGGCGGGCTGACTCAGGGTGAGTCTGCAGGTCGCGGGGCTGGAGGGACACGGCTGACGCACCGGCCGGGGTGACTCAGGCCCAGGGCGGGGGTGGGGACGAGGGGGCGGCCGACCCGCCGAGCCAGGATGAGTCGGCAAAACCCGGCGTGCTCGGCTGCCCCGGCCCCGCGGTGGGAGCCTTTGCCGGAAGGGCCGAGGAGGGGATACTCATACCGACAGGAGTGAAAGTACGAATCTGGGGCCGGCGGACGCTGTTCTGAACACTCTGCGTGTATATTAACGTATTTAAACCTCCACATAACCCTGCAAGATAGGTGTGATACTTGTTCCCCTTTTACAGATTAGTAGACTGAGGCACAGGGAGCTTAAGGGATTTGCCCAGGGTCATGGAGCTAGTAAGTGGCTGAGCCGGGTCCAGACTGTCTCTCTCCAGAGTACTATTTGTACTTCACTGCTGGCTGCCTCTGTGCAGCAAAAGGAACTGTCCCAAGGAGCCTTCTGGAAGGCTGCTGACAATGGCACTGCCCCAGACATGCAGACTGTCTCGTCGCATCCTCACAGCACCACGCCGATGTAGGTGTTAGGGCCAGGATTATTGAACTGCTTTTCCAAGGTGTGGGGCAGCTGGAAATGAACGTCATCTGAGCCTGCAGCCCAGGGCCACTTAACCACCAACACCTGCTTACCGTTGTGGACACCAGGCTGCAGGGGGTGGTGGTGATGGCCCGGGTCCAGGTATGCTGAGTGCCAGCCCCACTCTCTCCCATTCAAAGCCCTCTCTCCCCTCTGGCCCAGATTCAGCACTCAGTGTTCTCCTGAGGGGGTGTGAGAGGGAGGCAGGGGGAGGTAAGCAGAGGCTCCTGGTTTCAATTCCAGGTGTTTATCAGCATCTATGGCAACTGTAGGATTTTGGCCCAGAGTTGCTTGGGTTTGGATCCCAATTGCCCACTACCTAGCTGTGTGGTCTCAGGCAAGTTGCTTCACCTCTCTGTGTCTCAGCGTTCTCTCCTTTTTCAATGGTTGTGAGGAGACTGTGGGAACAGTTAGAGATAATGGCTGATGGAGGGCGGGGTGTGTGTGTGTGTGTGTGTGTGTGTGTGTGTGTGTGTGTGTGTGTGTGTAGGTCAGTGTTTACACCAAGGAGTAACCAAGGAAAGTGCCTGGTTTTATCATGAACACCCAGAGTGCCGGAAGAGAGGCCATATTTGACTGAGAGCATCAGGAAAGCCCCCCCCGCCCCCCCCCCCACGGGGGCAGAGGCACTTCAAACTGGAAAATGGCTTGGTCTCGGAGAGGGAAGAAGCAGGTGATGGTTTAGGTAGGGGGTAGGCTCTGGAGTCCTCCCCCTGGTCGGCACCTCCATGGGGAACTGCAGGGGAAATGCATAGTCACCCTCTTAACCGGAGAGAACCAGAGACGGTGCCCACTGTGGGGAGGGGAGGCTGCTGCAGGGGCTGGTTACTGACCTGAACTCATTCACGGCCTATCACTCAAAGCTGTTATGAGTGTGAATTGTGAGAATTCACTTAAGTGTCCTGGGCCCCATTTTGCCATTGTTCTTCCTTGTTCATCCTCTGCGTTCTGGGCTTTAGTCCTTGAGCTTGCCCCTCACGGTCCTAAAGTGGCTGCTTAGCTCAAAGCATCATGTCACATCACGACACAACAGCTTTCAAAGGTGGAACTTAGGACATCCCTTTGTGCTGCTTTTTAAGAGCGGAGAAAGCTTTACTCTCCATTCCTTACTGGTCTTCCCTGCCTGGGAGCCTTTTCCTCCTATCGTACTGGCAAGAATTATATCACATGCCCAATCCAATCCTTGGCAAGGGGAGTAGAATGACCATGATCAGCTTAGCTTAACTGGCATTCCCCTCTGGGCTCAAGAGGGTCTTCCATCCCCTCAAGTTCATGGGCCCCTGACTGCTGAACAGAACTAACTGTAACCTAGTTTTCCTGTGCGAACCCTTCTTCCCCTGCTCTCAGGACTGTGTTGGGGAGCAGACCCCGTGATGGGGGTGGATGGAGGAGAGAGGACCTGACCACACCCGCCCGGTCAGCAATCCCATGGTATTGGCCCATCTGTCCTTAAACCAGTGAGACTAAGACAAGCCTCTTGGTGGAAGGGAGATGAATTACCTTCCACGGAGGCAAAAGCAAGCCTGGAACCGGAAGTTCGCGAGGTTCCGGCATCTACATGGTATCTTTGTGCTTCAGTTTGGATTTTCCCAAAAGTAGACGCTGAGACAAGGACTGTGCGCAGGTAGTTTATTTGGGGAATGGTCTAGTTACTACCACTGCAAAACAAACCACTCCAAAATTTAGTGGCATAAAATAACCCCTTCGCCGCCATCCTCCCAGAGTCTGTGGGTTGAGAATTCAGACAGGGCGTGGTGGGCACTGCTCGTCTCTTCTCTACGATGTCTGGGCCATCGGTTGGGTGACTCAACAGCGGGGAGTGACTTGATGGCTCGAGCTGGAACCATCTGGGGGTGACTCGGTTAACACATCGGTTGGACGGTGTTGCCTGTCAGCCGGAACACCTCCCCGTGGCCTCCCCATGGGGGCCCGGGCTTCCTCATAGCCAGTTTCTTTTCTTTTCTTTTTTTTAAAATTTTTTAATGTTTTTATTTATTTCTAGGAGAGAGAGAGAGAGACAGCATGAGCAGGGAGGGTCAGAGAGAGAGAGGGAGTCACAGACTCTGAAACAGGCTCCAGGCTCTGGGCTGGCAGTCAGCACAGAGCCCGACACGGGGCTCAAACCCACGAACCGTGAGATCATGACCTAAGTGAAAGTCGGATGCTTAACCTACTAAGCCACCCAGGCGCCCCGCCCCATAGCCAGTTTCTAAGAGTGAGTGTCCTAAGCGAACCTGGCAGAAACTTCATGGCCTTTTCCAGTCTACTCTTGGAAGTCCCAGAGCATTATTTCTGCAGTGTTCTATTTGCAGGAGCTGTCGCAAGTGTCCTCCCGCTCCCCCCGCTCGAGGGAAGGGAAGGGGACAGCGGCTCTGTCTCTTGATGGAAGGAATAGCAAGCTTCTAAAAGCGCTTGTGGGTGGGAGGTGTTGTGGCCATCTCTGGAACACACATCTACTGTAGGAGACGGTGCCAGAAGGTAGTGGGGAGGGGAGAAATGCCAATAAAGGGTATATGCTGACGAGCAGGTTAACTGGGTGGGCAATTAGGGCTCACTCCTGCTCGGGACGCTCTGCATCGTGCATCAGAACTGTCCCTGTGAGGGACAGGGGGCTGAGTATCTACTCACTGACTCCTGTCCCTCGCTGGTGGAGGGTGGCCTAAGAATGTGAAATTTCTGCCATTTCTGGGCTGCTCTGTACTCATACAGACCAAGCATCTGGGCCCTCAGAGGGTGAAGCTGCCTCCTTACAGTGTGACCTCAGGGATGGTCAAGGGCATTTGGGGCAGGACATCAATAAACTCCGCTTCTGTCCAAACCAGCCAGAGTCCATGTTGGCTGTCTTCAACCTAAGGCTCCGATCACCTGTGCACCCCATCATCTTCCTGAGCTCCCTACTCTTCCCCTTCTCTCTCATTTTTGATAAAGAATCTCGTACACCAGGCATTTGGGTATGCAGAGGACTTTCCCGAATGTTGGGGAAGGTGAAAGGAACGTTAAAGTTTAGACTCCCTCGCCCCTGAAATGTGCTTGTCCACCTCTGCGTACGGGTTCCTGCCATGTTGCTTTGGTCTTGTTCTCTCTGTTTTCCTCTCCGTCTTCTGTGTCATTTCTACCAGCTGTTGAGTTGCCTGTTCTTGTTTTAGGCAAGAAGTTGGCCTCTGTCTCTTGCAGCTTCAGTGCCTGCGGGGCATCTCCTTGGGGTCTTGAGACGGCTTCTCATAGTCACAGAATGGCTGCCGGTGCCAGTGGGGGCAGCCTCCCTCTTCGCTTATGTCTTAGCTCAGCTCCCACTTAGCCGCTGTACCCAAGTACCGTAGACTGGGTGGCTTCAACAATAAACGCTTGTTTCCCACGGTTCTGGGGGATGGAAGTCCAAGATCAAGGAGGGGTGAACCTCTTCCTAGTTCACAGACAGCTAGCTGTCTTCTTGCCGTGTTCTGGGCGAGGGAGCTGTCTGAGCCTCTGCCCTTAAGGGCGCAGATCACATTCATGAGAGCTCTGCCTCCCCCAAAACCCCACCTCCACATGCCATCACACTGAAGATTAGGCACGCACATATGAATTTTGGGGGGACACCAATTCAGGCCACAGTAGTTCACATCCAGAAGAGAGAGAAAACTCCCCCAGCAATGATGGGTTAAAGCTTTTCTCTTTGGTCTGATTCGGCCAGCGTGAGTCTGGATTCATAGCGTTCCCCTGAGATGTGCCATGTGGGAGGTGTGTAAGCACGGGTGCTGGAGCCTGTCACCCACTGGTGTGACTGTGACTGGCTCAGAGGAGACCAGTCAGCCACCCCCCCGAGGTCAGCCTCCTTTGAGCCCCTCAGAGGGGCTCAGTGATGGGTGGATGTCTGGACAGATGTGAGGTTTGTTGATGAGGCAGGGGGGAAAGTGAAGGCCTGAGCCCCCATGTTGGGTCCTTTTGGGCCACCATGGATTTCAGCTGCAGTTGTGGGGGGGAGCTCTGTGCAAGCCGGCACTCACCCAGCGTGGCTGGCTTCCTACCCACGCTCCCTGTGTGGTCCACATTTCCCATCCTTGCGGTGGCGTTGCTCATTCACAAGCATACCACAGAGATGTCAGGGTGTTCACTG